TTTTTTTTTTTTTTTTTTTTTGAATTTTATAGCTGCTCACTGCATAAAAAAGATTCAAATTAAGAAACAATGACTTCTCATGCACATTGAATCTACAAATTTTCGAACATTTGTAGCAAAAATCTATAGAGCCAAGCCGCTTAAGTTCATAAACGTGCATTCCGAAATTTGATCAAATCGATGCTCAAACTCAGGCAAAGAAGTGTCGACTGGCGCCTGACAAAAACTGTTGTGGTTTGATATATACTCTACAAAACTTTTAGAACCTCCCCTAGAACAAGTCCCCATTGAGTCCAATGGCTGCCACCCTGACAATAAACAGCAAATGGTTCTCTCAGAGACCCGTCACATGAGAGTTCACTTGGGCTTCCATCAATAAAAGTTCCATCAGCAAATATCACCTCAGATGCATAGCCAGGAGTTGCACCGGCTATGGGCTTTGTAAAAGAACTAACAGGCGAATTTTTCTGCACAGCCTCACAGAAAGCAAGCAAGCGTTCACGATTCCCAAGTTGTACTGCCTGTACTATATCATGGCGAGGAACCCTGCAACCTGGTTGGACCTTGTACCCTCGCGCTGCCATTACTTCAGCAATCAGAAGGCCTCCCTTTATTGCTTCCCCAACCATTTGTGGAGCAAGGAACAAACCCTGAAAAAATATCCGCATGATATCACCCAGAGTTGAACCACAGTCAATTCCCAGGCCTGGTGCCGAGAGACGAGCAGCTGCTGCAGCCACCCATTTTCTACTTCCAGCAACATATCCACCGCATGGTGCGATTGTTCCACCTGGATTTTTAATAAAGCTTCCAGCTACTAGGTCAGCTCCCACCATTGGAGGTTCAATTATCTCTGTGAATTCGCCATAACAATTATCCACCGTAACCAAACATTCGGGATTCTGCAACTTGATTATATTTATCGCCTTCTCAATTTCATCTACACTCGGGCTTCGCCTCCACGAATAGCCACATGACCTCTGAATAAGTGCACATTTTGTTTGTGGCTTCAAAGCTATCGTGAGGGCATCCCAGTCGAGACCTCCATCCTCAGCAAGTGGAACTTCTCTATAATTTATACCAAAATCTCTCAAAGAACCTATATTGCCAGAGTCCTTAATTCCAATGACCTCCTCCAAAGTATCATAAGGAGCTCCAGCAACTGCCAGAAGCTCATCTCCTGGCCTCAGTAAAGCAAACAAAGCACACGTGATAGCATGAGTCCCCGAGAAAAACTGTGCTCGAACAATTGCAGATTCAGCACCAAAAATTTCTGCAAAGGCTTGATCCAGTACACTACTAGAAATTGGTGCATTATTAACCAAATTTTGCAACTGAATTTGACTTGTTACAATAGTAACAATGATTTAGATACAAAATA